ATCGACTTCGTCTGAGACTGTCGCCCCGAACACTGGGATCAAAGTAAACATTAAGCAAAATGGCAAAGTGCTCACAAGCACTAATAGCACTTCCAACACGATAACGGTCAAGCATACATAAAAGGAGAATTACGAGGAGAAATTGTGTAGATTGATATAACGTTAATAACTTAGAAATTAATTCCTACGCTTTGTTACACAAATTTGCCTTTAATTTTTCCATCTGTCTCAATAGCGTCTTGATCCATCCCCGTTTTTCCTTCTCAATAACTTGAATTTATCAATTCACATTCGGTGGGGTTTTTTGATCTTTGCGCGATTGCATTGTAATCATTAATTACCGCGTATAATGAAATTGACGGCGACTTTGATTATACGGCCATCAACGTGCTTGTAGTGTGCTACTAGTTCAAGCTGTTTTCCAGTCAGTAGCTTACAACTTTGAGTCTTCACCTTTTTCCTAAAAGACCCCACAACTGATTTAATGCGAATCTTCCGATGCCGTAGTACCAACGAATTGGACTACGACGCATCACCTTATCACCTTCATGAATACAATCATATTGGCAATGTTTATTACCCACATTTCTACTCGTATTTGCATCCCAAAGCGATGAGCAACGTCAGCAACAGACCTACTTATTCATGAACTCCTCAAGAGAGGGCTCGATCAGCCCTTGCACGGCTACTCTGAGGAAGCCTGTCTCCTGTTCCAATCGCTTTAAAATACCCTTGTCAGCCTTCAGTTCGTCTACGTCCCAGTGAGCCCACACGAAGCGGCCATGTAGCCAGGATGCCTCTGGAGACGCTGCCCAAACGGCGTAATCTGCGGGCAATTCCACTAAAACGGATGGTCAGTGACAAAAGGACGGATAATACCGCAGTTGATAATACCCACTCGCATCCCATTTCCAAGCATCCTTATCAAAGTATTTAGCGCCGCTCTCCGAGTAAAGCACCCCAGGATGGAAGGAAATTATTTGCACGTCCTCAACTGGATGCTCATCGGCAATTCTTCCGATCAACGCAGCGAATGCGGCTTTAGAAGTTGAGTATGGATTCTGAGACGATGCGGGATTCATATGGATACCAGCCGTGGAGATATTGACCAGTTTAAGTTGCTGGCCCGTAGAGCGTAGAGGTTGATTTACGAACTTCACCGTCATGGAAAAATTACCTCCAACATTGATATCAAAGGACTCCATGAGCTCTCTTTTGTCCATCTTCAACGTATCAGGCCCCATGGGGAAGAGGGAAGCGGCGTTGAGAACCAATACATGGACGAGAATGCTCTGAGAGTGAAGGAAATCCCAAACGGAGGTAATTGACGCGTCGTCGCCAATGTCGCCCTGTCGAGCAATAAATTCAGTGGGGGAGCCTTTGAATTCCTCGCGCAATTTCTCTGTTGCATCATCCAGTACGGCGCTCCTGCGTCCGATGATGATGACTTTGGAGGCGTTAGCCTTTGCAAAAGACCGGGCAATCTCGAAACCTATCCCACTACCACCTCCTGTGATAAGAACTGCCTTACCAGCCTGGCTGAGAGAGGGCCGAGTCGGCGAAATGGTGGGATATGTATCGCGATGATAAGTGCTGGTTAGACTATTGAGAGGCATTATCGTCGTCGTTGTGAGATTATAATTCACCCGGGAAGACATTTTATACCTTGTATCTTGTCATGCAAAGTCTCTAGATTGCTTACTGACCATATTTGTCCGTTTTAGTGGAGCTGAGTGGTCCTTCGGCAAAAACGAAAGACTTACTCATACGGAACCTTGTCGGAATTGTTCCTGTGCATAATTGCAAGGTGATAGCAATCGGAAGGCTTACTAATACTGCAACACTTTTCTCTCATCGCTGAGTAACGTCTAGCGAAATTCATTTAAACAAAGCCGAGACCTCGGCAGAGTTATGATCATTACAGATTCGTTTACACTTACTTTCAAATAGGAGGGTATAAATGGGCGACTTCCGGCTGCAATTTTCGAGCAAATAATTCTAGAAAATTCTGAAGCGAAAGACGGAGATTTAATGGATTGTTCGCTGTGACCAAAAATTGCGCGCAAAACGATTTACAAAGGGGGAAGGGGGGCTGTTGTAAATCAGTTTTGAGACAAATCTTGCGGAGCCGCTGCATCGCTTGAGGGTTAATTATTTTTTGTTGTGCAAATAATTCCTACGGGAAGTCATTTATTGAATACAGGTAATGTTTAGTAGCTGTGCGAGAGGCAAACGGGGGAAATCTGATGGGGAGTTCTCACCTGCGTTATACTAGTCTGAAGCCTCCAATTTGTAGCGATGAACTCGAGACCGTTTGCGCCGCCGTCTTTAGGATCTAGTTGGCGGAGTGTCGTCACGGAGATCTTTCCCATTGGTCCTTGATACTGGAATTTCTTCTCTTTCCGGTGTGCTTGTTTTGATTGCTATAGAAGGCTATTTGGGCGTCAAAATCCCACGGTCAACGACGTTGACAACTGCTGCACCTCTGGATTCATTCTCTCGTCAAGAGCCAATCACGGAAAACGTTGATAAGACGTTCAGGAAGCGATTGAGAAGATTTTCATCTCTTTCGAGTGAAAGGCTTGAAAATTGGGTGTCGAGTTGTATTTGTGTATGCTAATCTGTCCATCGTCTGTCTCTCCAGTACTTGCCAGAGGAGTTTTGTGAAGTATTTGTAGTTTGAAGAAAGCCTATGTGGTAAACATAAAAGTCGTGGACTGGAAGTGGAAGATGTTGCTTAATATGCGCTTAAATCGTAACCTGCGGAACGTTTCTTCGCTCTTTCTCATTCACTCTCAGTTCTCAAATCCGATTCATCGCTTCCTCACAATTCGTTGAACCAATGCTGTACCACTGTTTATTGATATGTTAGCCTTTATTAGCCCATACCAAAGTATCACTATGATTGAAGTGACCACCCTCCGTTTGCGTTATATCTATTCAACTTTATCCATCGCTCAGCTAGAATTGCTCTCTGTTTTCAAATACTGGCGGTGTAGGCGATGGCAGTAACCCGTCATGACAGACGAAGATCCCGGAAGCTGCATCGGGTGCATCTGTCAGTTGTTACCTTGTCGAAACGGCTCAAAATTGAGTCGATACCAAGTATCTCTTGTCAAGCGGCAGCTACGGTCGATCCTTTGTCTCCTACTTTGAATTCTGGCAAGTAATAGGCCGAAGAACCCCGTGTTTAATTGGGATCAGAAAAGGAGGACTTGAACTTTCTAGTCCGTACTTTGTCTTCGTGTCCACACATACATTCCCTCAAGAGCGGAAGTCATCAATGTCTATCGTTTCCGGGAACTGGGATTTTCCCGGCGTTTATTTTAGTGCCGATGGTGAAATAAGTTTAAGAGTCGCCCGACCTTGGTCTAACTATTCAACAAATCAACGACCCCAAGGACCGATTCCAGACAACTGATTCACCAAGTCTCAGTCAACTGATATTCCGGAAGTTACCCCATGAAACAGTTTCGTCTCAGCATCCTGTTCCAACTTCCAAACACCTCCCTATTCCCCCTGTTTATGACCCCCCTTTATTTTTTAGTATATAAGCTGACACTTTCCACCCGTCAAAACTCATATCCATTTTTTTTGCCTTACGCCCAACTTGATCACACATTTCAATCGTCGCTTTGCGAATTCATCCATCATGAAACTCTTTACTATCATATGCTTTGCTGCCGTGCTCGTTTCCGTCACATCTGCTCTACCCGTTCCACTTTTTAAACGAGATCCTCGACAATTCCCTGGTTCGAGTCCGTACACGAAGCCGCACTTGTCACACTACAACTCTACTTCTAATGGGACGTCCTCAGACCCAGATTCCGGTGATTATAACTCTGGATCCAAACCATACAACAGTTACGGTTCCCCTCATTTATCGCATTACAATTCTACCAATGGCGATGCCGATCCAAACGAATCTGCATCAGAATCTTTTGCTTACCCCAGTTCCACTGCTTCCAGTAACCATGGCGGAAATTCTGAAAGCCAGGCTGAACCTACTACCGTTGCGTCTACTCAGTCTACGCAGGATCTAGTTTCTGTCACTACCACTTTTTCCGTCCCTACACCCATTGCGACTGCAACAGCGACCAATGTCGGTCAGGCTAGATAATGATATGGCTTGACAATCAATCTACTGTCACCACGTTTTGTTTGAGTTGGGCAATTAGTAGTGAGTATTCGGCTTTCTACGTCAAGTTTTGCGCCACATGCTTATTCTCATTCGCAGAAATATGCAACTGATCAATCCAGTTTTCCACCCTTGCTGGCGGATTCCGGCCTAGCAATATCAATGATCAACAGCACATGCCCGTACAATGAAATAGACCGTTAGCCGCGACACTTCTAAGTTTTCCATCCCCTCGTTCTGTAACATCGATTCTGAAGTTGTGTATATCATCGGCTATGCCATATTTGATATCAATGAGCACAATCGAAACGCAGAAGTAAACCTATCAACCACAATCATCTGTGAAGGAATGTAGAGCTGCGACGTGGTTGTAGCAGGTCAATTGTACGATATGTTAATATAAACTATGTTTAACGCGCTGTCAGTTTTAGATTGCTGTTCCGAAGCGGTTGAATAAATTCCTTGTCTCTCCTTGTATCAACCTCTGGTGCATCATGTATTCATAAATCCCAAAAATTGCAATGCTGTTCAACAAGTCTTTAAGTAACCGCGTTAACAACGAGTCAGTCTCAAATTTGTTTTACGGTTCTGTAGTAGCCCATACCTTTTTTGTGCAAGCACGCTGTAAGTTCTGTTACCGCTTGAACAATTTCACTCTGTCCATGCGCCTTTACCTCCGAATCAACTTGTACACTTAATTCTGATTTGATGTGTGGCGGGTCTGAATTTAACTTAGAGTAAGATTCCAGTACCATCGTCCACCTATGTTCATTAGTTAAGACTTTTTCACCTGTTTCCACTCCTCATATCACAAAATTAGCAGGAATCTCAGTTGTCGTTTGGTTGAGATGCTATCTTCACCGGGCACATAGCGTAGGGGTTATCGTGCTCGCGTTGCATCAACGTTCTTGGGAGAGGTCTCCGGTTCAAATCCGGATGTGTCTATTCCATTCAAGATGGAAGGAACATTATTGTTTTTGCACCCGGATTTAAACCAATGGATACTGTAGTAGAATCTAAAGAAGGTGTTCGTCTTCCTCATCCTCTATCTACTTCTTTGTAACGAACATGAGCGCAACAACCCGCAAGGCAGCAAACAACCACAACAACAAAGTAGTCGAAGCTGAAGGGGACAGCGAGCGCTTTCGCTCGTTGTTCCGGATCCTATGATGGCAAGCAGCATTCTTCTGTTCACCACTAGCTCAAATACTGTTGCCTCAGACTATGTTCTACTTCACGATCAGCGTCAGGCTCAGATTGAAATAGTCTGAATTCCGCCTTACTGAAGACGACGACGATAAAAAAAGAGGAGCAAGCCATAAAGCAAGCGCATGAGCCGCCGATGAAAGGAGACAACTGTGTTTTGCAATTCATTATGACTTTATATATGATCTCAACCTTCTGAAGTAGTCATTGCTTCTCAAAGGCCTCAAGAGTTAAATGAGCCCATGGACAACACTCTTAGGCAGCAGCGCTCCTGCTGTTCTAGCTGAGGTTTAGGCTGGATGCAGTCGGGATGTCGATATCGTACAACTTGTGTTCAATGCGCTCTCAATTTTGTTCCGGATTCGACAAATCTCCAAGTCTATGAAGAGTTCCAATTTATACCGATTCCAAACTCTTCCAGCTCCTCTGAGACTGTTATTAACATTGCCTGTTGTGGGTGGAAATGAAAGTATAAATGGTGGGAAAGATTTTTGAAAATTGTCTGGTGCTTCCTACCTGGTTTTTGTCTTTGCTGGAACTCGTTGTCTGTCCTTTATACATATACACAATTGCTTGACAGCTAGCAAACCAGCAATCAAAGTCGTATTCGTAAACAACCACGCACTGGTTCGGATTCACAGACACTATCATACATTATACTTTCAACGCATCACGATATATTGACAGTACCACTGCGATTACCCTCTCTGGGCTGGGGGAATAGCAACCCACTTTCTTTCAAGAATATTCCCATACTCCTTATCATCGAAGAAGAGACAATATTCATGTTCCTCGTGGGTAGCCGCAGATGAAGAATAAATTGTGATATTAGGGCACTTGTCCTGCGGAAGTGCGTTCCCCTCGGTGGGATCAACATCAATGCTCGCTGTAGCCAACACTGTACCTGTCGGTCCTACAAGTCTTGCAGAAAATGCCAATTTCAGAACCTCCTTGAACACATCCTCCTGGTTCGGGCGATCACTTCCTTCAACCAAGGAATAAATCTGGTTTACAACATATTGATCGATAGCGATAGTCCCTTGGATCCTGTTTTTGATTTGTCGACGACCTTGACAGCCAGCGCACAGAGTGTCAAGGCCACGGGCAAGAGAGGTGACCATGCCGATGTTGATATTATTGAACAGAAGCTCGAGTCTATAGGAGCCTGAGTAGGCGTGCTCGAGGATGTCAGCGACAATAATAAAGTGACGATAGTCATCGACTTCTTTGAACCTGGAAGGAGGTTCACCGCTGCCCCGCAATACGGGGATAATGGGATGGTTTCCGATTCCGAATCTACGCCGAGTTACTTCGATGTTAAGCCCGAAGTAATCCTGGAGAAGTGCAAGGTATTTAGCACGATCAGCTTCTGAACTTGGTTTCGAGACGTCGATGGTGACTTGGTTGTGCGTCAGGACATAGGTGTACCCTGAATTTCCAGCCCATGTTCATTTCTCAACTACGTCCGTGATTATGAAACCACCTACATTTCTGCACATTCTCATCACTCCTCAAACCGTGAGTGTCCTTGGAGGTCCAGTAGATGTTGCTATCGTTCCGGAACGGTTCAAGTACTGAAACTTCGTCGATTGCTGCATTGGGTGCTTCGGACCAGGTACCGTCTGGTTGGACTTTGGATTGATAGTCAAGACGAATCAGAATCTTGTTACTTGAATGGGATGAACAATAAGCTCACCAAACTTGATAAGTGTCCCATTCTTGTCATAGTATCCTTCACCCATCCAATAGTCCGGATAGACATATTCCCAGAGAGCGAAAATACGATCCACATTGGCATGATGCATATAGAAGATTGGGTCGAACCCAGCATAATCATTGTTGGACTAGAAAGCATTCCATTTGAACCTGTCTGGCAAGGATAATCAATACATACCATATGTCCTAGTCCTCCAAGAAGAAGATGAATCGAGTTGTGAGGATGCTCGAGACTTCCTATCATGCAAAGCATTAGTATATGCAGAAGGACTTCTGTAATGGAGTCCTATGGAGTCAGACTCACCAGCTTTGTAGTCCTTCATCCCTCTAGCAATTTTAGTCGCCTTTGACTGGAATGTGGTGTTTGAAAATTCATCCCAGCTGTTAAATGAATCAGCGACTCGAACAAGCTCTATGCTCAACATTTTGAACTCACATAAATGGAGACTCGTCATTCCCAGCTGCAATAGGAAAAGTGAAAAGATGAGCTGCGTTGCTCCTAAGAGCCTTCCATCCATATCGATCATCGTCTTTATCAGTAAGCAAGCTAATAGCATCCAGGTTAAGGTAAAATTTATTGTTTCATTTTCGAAGAGAGAAATTTGAACACATACTCATCAATATTCGCGTATTGCTCCTTCGGGTCAGCAGTATTCGTAGGCCAACGATAAGTTGAGGTCCAATCTTTGAAATACCCAGTTTGTCCAACTTGGAAGGGACTCCATTCGTCGTCTCCGGAGTTCTCCATATTTTGGAACCCAGCAGGGCGAGGGTTTTCAAAATTATATGTAGCAAGAGGATTTTGTGCAAGGACCTTTTGAGTGCCATTGGGCAGTTTCAGTGTGACTGCGTAAGGCCTTAGGAGGGATGGTAGCCCTTCTGTACGAGTCCTTGGGTCCGTCCAGTCCCAGAAGCTGTGATAAAATGAGTATTATGACTGATGATTCAGATTAATATGTGATACGTACGGCCAACGAAGTTGTTGAGCAGCAGTGAGCCAAACCTGTTTGACATTGTCGGGAAGTCCTTCAGTCAACTCTCCCGCAATAGCCATGGCTGCTTCTCCAATAGATTGCTTAGGATATATACACAAATTTCATTACTGGCTTGATTAACTTTGCAAAACACCCACCTCAAGAGCAAGGAGATATGGACGATGCCAAGTTGGGAATAGGATAGCTTTTACGACGGAAATTTGAGTGCAATCAAGACAATAGTCGTCTTGACTTACAAGCATGGTTACAGTAGCCTAGACCGGTTTAATATTGCGACAACGAGAGGATGTAGAGGTATGTACATACCTCCATAGTCCTTGCTGATTGGTCCGGGAGCTCCTTTAGGGTCACCACTACGCGTTCACAGGATTATATTTCTAAGCGACTGAAACAAGGGTTCGGGAGAACCAAACATTACCTCCAGCCTTGGTATGGGAGACCATGAATCCCGCCTGTATGACGGTGATTGAGCATATTGTGTCAGATATTCGAAATTATCGAGGGACAAACCGAGGGAGAGAAACTTGGCAGCGACTGGCGTATAATCCGCCTGCTGGATGCGCTGCAAACTGAGGTTGAACAAGGTCCATTGTTCGTTGGACTGAGCTAGCTCTCGAACTTCTAAGCGAGTGTATACACCGCCTAGACAAGAATTAGTGAGTCGACGATAATCCACGCTGTATCAAGATACGAACCTGGGATACCATGAATAAAGTAAGGGGTACTTGACATCTTGCAATGCTTCGCGGAATAGACATTTCTAGCATGAGAAAGCTATTATTTATACTACTTGGTTGTCGATATAGATGAACGTTCGTAATAACTTGGACGTGCTCCGCACACCATAGCAAAGTTCAGCTATTGGCTGACCCCGCACGAATAGTCTAGTGTGAGAAGCTCACCAGCCATTTGAATGCTAGTATCTTCCATAGGTTCATTCCTACTGTCTTTCGAGATTCAAGGATCTGATTATTCGTGTGACTTGAACCAGATGCACTGAATGAATGTAAGGGAGGGTTGAAGCTTGAGCCCAGGCAGGTAAAACTTACTTCATTACTTCAATGCCATTTAGCTTCAAGGATCCATTGATATGTTATTGAGCCCTGACAGGCTCCGAAATGCGAGTTTCCAATGAACACAAGACCCTCAACAAAACTGGCAACTGACTGATCTCCAGTGTCATCGGAAATACACTGGAGCCCATTGGAAACTCGACGTAGGCCAACTATGATTCTGAAGCGAAGTGTTCATTGAGTTGCGTTGAGCATTTGGCGTTGATTGGAGGCGATCCGAGGATAGCGCAATGAACAGCTCTTCTTCCAAAGTTTCCACCTCAGCAGACCCATATGAACGGCAAATTGCTCATGTCTCCAGTGCCATCCGCTTGCTTCTAGAATCTAGAAAATCAACATTTTCCAGAGATCGAAACCTACATCTATATCAAGCTCAAATCAAAGTACTGATTTCATGATCAAATATCGAAAGTCCCCAAGATACTTGTTGTCGTGTTGAGTTCTGTCAAGTTTGTGTATTCTATTAAGCATGTACACGGGTATATCATTAACCTAAGGTTCAAAATCAGCATCCATACTATCACGTTCAAATCTTCCAGTACTACGAGCAGAATTGGTTACAATATATTACACGAAACACCAGATATATATCGGGTACCTGCAGTATGTAGTTGCGTTTGTTGGCATGATCATCCTAGATATCGTTGTCCATACTTCTGTAAAGAGTGATTAATCCGACACAGTATCTTCAAGAGTAGTTACACCGGGAGAACATGTTTTCTGATGTCATCCATAGCATCCTTCTTCGTGACGCCCAATCACGAGTTCACAGAAACGGCGACACAGTCAGTGGGACAATAATGAGAAATCTGTCGGATGCAGTGGGATTGGCAGCAAGGTCTAGAGAAATTATAGGGAAGCAGGAAAGGCTTGTGTGCACAAATTTGGCCACAGCTAGAGCATGTTCAACCAAGCGAACAGTCAGGGAAACAATGGAAGACGACGTTCTTCTGCG